GATGGAAAATACAGTTCCGAATATAAAAAAAGTAGTAGTTATGCCAGATTTATTAATTCGGCGGCATTATTTATAATAGCAGTAACGATTGCAAATTGTATTACGAGTTGGGCAGAATTCCCGTTTTTCAATCATATAACGTTAACTCAAAATATGAGAGCACTCCCCGAAGAGTTGGAATTCGTTCAATTTCTAAAGAGAATTGGCAATGGTGAAGATTTAGTAGAAATTCCAGCAAATTTGATAGGTGTTGAATCTAACACAGTACATGATATTTTTGGAGATATTAATGAAACCATTTTATCAGATAGAATGTTGAAGTCAGTTGTGTTAGCTCCAACTAATGAAGATTGTGGACTTATCAATAACGATGTATTGAATCGCATCGCTGGTGAAGAAAAGGTTTACTACAGTTTTGACAGAATTATTTGCGAGGATAACAGTGAGGTGTGCAACTATCCTGTAGAATTTTTGAATACTTTGATTGTAAGTGGTTTGCCACCACATAAGTTGGAGCTCAAGATTAATGCGATAGTTTTGTTAATTCGAAATTTAAATACGAAGCAAGCATTAGTGAATGGGACGAGAATGCGAGTCAAAGCAATGCATAATAACACAATAGATTGTGAAGTACTCACTGGAGTTGCTCGCGGAAAACGTGTTTTGATTCCACGCATACACTTGACGTATTCAGGGACTGCACTGCCATTTAATTTTCAAAGAACACAGTTTCCACAGTCATCAGCGCATTTGCTATGACAATTAACAAATCCCAAGGACAGACATTTAATAGAGTTGGAATATTGTTGAGGAGACTTTTTTTTCGCATGGTCAACTTTACGTTGCAGCCAGTTGAGTTAGATCATTTGACGGACTTAAATTTTATGTCAGTAATGAAGGTGGACAAGGTCATTTGGCTAATGATGAAAGGGTTTTTACAAAAAATATTGTTTACACTGAAGTTTTGAGAACTTCGTGATATAAAATATAGAATTATTATTATGCATTATTATCATTTTAGATTTCATTCAGTTTGAATGTTTTTCAATATTTAATTTTTTTCATTCGTTCATTTGCCAATTTCATTTCTTTGTTTCTTGCCTTCACTGCATACCGCGATTTGATTTCGTGATGGCAGAGTATAGGAATTTGTTTGATAATTAACACGGGAGCGAGATGTTGTACAAAGTCGCATTGTCGAAATTATGCAATAAATTGACGCAATAAATTGCGTCAGAATTTCGAATTTCTTTAGAAAAAGGTGCTGTTCTACAAAATTGCTGATTCCTATACTGATAACTTTCCGATATCACCTGAAGAACAAATGTACGGAGCAGATGTTAAG